CCTCTTCTTTGTATTTTACTCATTTCATTTTATGTTCATATTATAAAATGAGTAAAAATTACTTTACATCATTGTCACAAATAGTGCAGCATCTTGAATATTGAATATTCTTTCAATAAATAAATGAATAAATAGATCTATACCTTTCTGTTTAAGTCCAGATTTTAAAAAACGAATCCTAGGATCTGTTGGGCAACCAGCAGATGTGGGGTGTGTGTTTCCTTTAACATTATTTTCCTTTGCATTGCAACACTTAATTGGATTCATACAGGCATCTCAGAACAGGTTGTTTCAGGTTCTTTTGAAAGGTTGTTATTTTGATAAAAGTTTTAGAGTATAAGCCAGGCATCTGTGTTCTTTTATTTGTTCTGCAACAGACATAGAGGTATTTTCCCATCAGTGACTCTCTCTTTTTTAAAATCTCAGTAAATCTCTATGCAAATAACAACCACATAATCAGTAAAATCCCTTGATGGGCTCCAAAGAGCCGAACAGGCATGTGTTTCAACTATTTCCCTGCTTCATCGAGGAGACGACGCCCCATTTCAAAGAAGAAATCACCTAATTCATTCTGACATAACTTGCGTTTTCTTCATAGAAAAAACTTGTGTTTTCTTCTATACTTGCTCTTTTCGTAGCTATGGAGTGTGTGATTTGTTTGGGTCCGTGCGATTAGGAACAGTGATTCAATCACAAAACATTTTTGGTTTGACATGCCCAAATGGTGTGTTTTGAACAAATGTGAAGACAATAAGCCATTGTTCAGCTATTCCATATCACAGTGTGAAGTGAACTAATGGATCGTTCAATAGCTAAATGTAATGTGTCTTTGGATCAGGGAGTGGTTGAATATGTGCCATGTTCTACTTGGTTCATTTGAAAGGTCTGAGAGTGATTCACACAAAACTTTTGGCTTATATGAATGATGTAAACAAACTCTAACTCCCTTTTAAGTGGACCACACCTTTGGACTTGTATAATTCCAAATGTTTTAGCTATATGCAGGCAAATATACATTTGCAGCACAAAGCCAATTAGGCCTACAGAGGCTGCCTTTACAGGACTCCTGCAGGTTGGATGAAGTTTGCATAGGGTAAGTAAGTGACTCTCTTCACTCAAAAAATGAACTCGGAAGGTTGTGCACTTTACATAATATATTTATATTAGCTTACTTATGATAATTGTGTTTTTTGACTTGAAATGTTGTTGTTTTTTTCTATTAAGGTCTATGTAATTAGGCTATGTCTCAACTTAACAGTACAAAATCCTAACGCGTTGTCTAAACAACGCAAACCACTTATGTTAAGTAAAAAATTCTTACATCCAGAGGGTGGCAGTATAGTGCGAGCCAACTGCCATTTTGCCCGAACCAATGTTCTGTCCCAATTCGCCTACTTATAACATGCCCTAAAAGTAAAAGTATACTGTTTTTGTAAAGAAAAAGTACATACTTTTGAGTGTGTAACAGAATTGTAGGCAAGCTTTTAGACATACTTTGTCATAATTAATTTAACTGACAACTCTGTTGCTTAGTTACATGCATCATGTCACTGTTTAAGTGCCTTGTCAATCATCTTGTCACAGTTCAAATCCTTCACATTCAGTTTCATGTAATAGGCTTTATGTCGAGCGTCACGTGACCAAACCGGAAAACAGGTCTCATCGCATCCGCTTGTCAGAGAAAGTGTTCACGGCCGTAAGACTGACTACGTCTCTGGATTTTTAAGGTAATCAGCTAACCTACCTAGTTCACTTTGTTATTGGCGTTTTATTCCATTTAAATATCTAAACGTTACTGTGAAGAAGAAAAAATATAAAACGTTTAAATATCAATCTGCACATTTGAGGGACATTGGTTATGCTAATCTTTGCTCGCTAATCTTTGCTAAGTTGTGAGCCTATTCCCTACCGTGTGTGAGAGAAATATTGAAGCACGTTGATCTGCCTGGCACGCATCTTTCATGTGAAGACTCTGCTCAGTGAGCATTGCTCACTTGCTTGTATAAATACATTTAAAAGTGAATATCAGGAATTTAACTCGTTTTATTCATCTTTTTAGTTCTAATTGAATGCTTGTCCAACGCATAGTAGACCATTCCGGGTATCTTTGGAATACTCATTTCAACATACTATGATTTGGGACACACTAATTATAATTTCGAATACTATTTCGAATGGATAATGTGTGAATTGGGATGCAGCACAACTGAAATCATTGAATCATTTTACTAAACCGATTTGTTCAATAACGATTCGTAAACGAAACACTATTGTATTTTGCTCGAATTTCCTCAACTGTTTATTCTGCTGTCGTCTGTCTTCTGCTGAGATATTTTTCATTGGCACAGCAAAACAGACAGTAACTGGAGAAGTCATGTCTTAAATGTAAGTTACTTTATTAACATTAATTGTTGAATTGTTGTATAAAAGCTTGTGTGCCGTATATTCCACTTTCAAGTCCAATGTTTACCAAGAAGGTACTTTGGCCTGTGTATTATTTGCTAAAGAATATGTTTAGCCTCTTAAGTGTATTGTCACTCATAGACGCAGCTCTGTCCTTGAACTACTGAGCCTAAACATATCCATAAGATTCTGTTTTGTATGTGGCGTGGCAGAGTGACAGAGTAAAATCATAATGTTCATCTGCCACCCCTTTAATAAGGCCTTATTACTGAAACATACCAAACCAAACCATATATATATATATACACAGGTTTTTTTTTTTTTATCAGATCACTGTCTTAAAAAAAAAAACTATTCACCTACATGACTGTTGAATTGCAGCACTAAAGACTGGCAGTAAAGTTAACAAGCCCTGCACAGCGACGACTCCATCTACTGAGTCGACATCAAGCACTTAATGAGTTTGAACGGATCCCATAAATTCCTAATCATGATTTCTGCAACGGGTGATAAGCTGGCTGCATTGTGCGCTGCTCTAAAGCCCATACTCTCAAAGTGCTAATATCCGTCTACACTTTCTCTCGCTGCTACTTGGTTTGCAGTAAATACTGTGGTGACAAAGGAATGACATGGAGTTTCTGTTAAACCAATCTTGATTTTTGCTTTGAAGTTCCTCAGTTCTCCCATCTGCGCTGCGGTGAGAATAATTATCTGTTCACATTAACACCATACCATCAGCCTATTAACATTCACAGTGGCACATGTGATTTATGTGGTTGACCCACTGCTATGTGGGGATGTCCCCGTTCCTGTGGGGAGTGAAACCTCCCCTCGACCTGTACTGAAAGACATCCTATTAGTGTGTGTGTGTCTCAATATCACCACACACACACATCATCCTACCAAAAGACTTATCAGCTGTTATTCTTCCCAGGACTAGATTAGGTCCCCTCCTCCCTCTCATGTCATAGATAAGCACGCCACACACAAGGCTCTTGCAGTAAATCATTATGTCCTGATGGCTGCCTGTACACTCACTGTGAAGAGATGAGCCACTTCAGAAAGCAACATGCAGAGCAATCCATGTAATGTCTCCATTTATAATACACACAATCATACTTCTCAAGTTACATCTGTTGTGGTTTTTGCCTATAAACTATCTGCGCACTATATGAATTCAATATTATGAACTCAATGCATTCAATAGGCCTGTATTATGACATTCAAAATGACTTTCTTTTAGAGCTGCTGTACAGCCAAAACAATCACTGTAAAGCTGCTTTGAAACAATCTGTATTGTAAAAAGCGCTATATAAATAAATGTGACTTAACTTGACTTGAATATTTTCAACGCATTCTCACCCCAAGGCGTCACCTTTGACCATGCTTCAATATTTGACTCTTTAGGCGCCCTTTAGCGTCAGTTGCATGACGCGATCCTACGGCGTCATCTAACTGACGCTAAAGAAAAAGCGTCAGTTAGATGACACAGGTAGGTTTAGGTCTGGGGAAGGGGTACGCGATCCTAGGGCGTCATCTAACTGACGCTAAAGGGTGCCTAAAGCGTCAGATATTGAAGCATGGTCAAATGAGAATGGGCTGATATTTTGCTTTAGATGTGTGTGCCATTCAGAATTTTTTTGCTCTTAAAATCCCAATTTGATTGAAATTCCAATTCAAGTCGAGGTATAAAACATATGAAGAATTACATTTCGAATTTGAATGTAAGGAATTGTAATTCAAATTATCTAAAATTTAAAAAAAAAATAGCCTAATATAACTGCAATTTAGGCTAGAAACAGAATTCTGGTCAGGACATGCTTTGAATGATGGCTTGATAAAGTATTTTTAAAAAGTTTTTTTTTTTTTTTTAGGCCTTACAGATTTGTACATCAGTATACACTTAATGTTTAATAAATGCTTACAATTTGTGAGCCGAAGAACACTTTGAGAATAACAGTTCTTGATGAATTTCTCTGAATGGTAAATTCCAGTTCCTTTAATTCAAATTATTGTATTGAAATGTTTTTAAAGACTCCATGTGTATTTTCTCAGTTTCTCATGTTTTATGTGTGTGATATCATACCTATGTCTTCCATTGAACAGACTTCTCTCTGGTGACGTCTTACCAGCTCATATTCAGATCTGCCTCCATCCAGTCAACAACCAATGGATAGAACCAAATCCTGAGAAGCCCATCCCTGGTCCTGACATATTTCAAAATGTAATAACATGCAAAATCATAGCTGCATATACAGTAGAAGCATTTTCATACATGTACTGTACTTGAGAAAGCTATGTTACTGACTGTGAGATATCTGTATCTCTTTGACGTTTGTCCCTGTAATCAAGCATTTTCTGTTTTTAGGATGGTTCGCATCTTCTCCTCAAATCTTTCCTTTCCCTTTCATCCTCTAATGACAGACCTGCTCCTCATTATGGAACTGCAAAGCCTGCCAGACCCCAAACCCAAGCAGCCAATTCTTCCACCCAAATCAGGCTGCTCTCGTGAGCTTTGCTGTGTGGCGAATGGGGTGGTCGAGGGCCAGAGATGCACGCCGACCAATCCAACCGATCTCTGGAAACATTGTTTAACCATTACCCTCATCATTTCGTGATCATCTAAAGAAGAACTGCCATAAAACCACAGTCAGTTCCTCGCAGGCAAGGAACATGTGGAAGTGTTGCGCTAAAGGGGAGCTACAGTAAATGTGGGCAGTGCCATTAAAAATGATGTCTGGCCATAACTTTAACATGGAGTAAGTGCTTCTTCTGGGTGGCATGCAGATCCATCAACCTCATGATCCTCTTGAAGATAAGGAAGAGGAAGCAAATCCCACATACCTCAGACACAAGCCCTCATTGTGAAGAAAGTGGTTCAGGTCATGTGCGTGTGCTATGCTTGAATGTAAAAGATAGGAAGAAATGCTGGCATCCTTTGCAGCATCTGAAGATGGAGGGACCCTTCTTCCTGCTTTCCTGTCAGCGACATTCCCAGCAGCATTCCGGCCCTCCAAAGTGCTTAGTGTTTGGAAAGCATGTTTCTGCCCGCATCGTGGATGTAGAAGCAGCGAGAGAGTAAGAGAATGAGGTCAGTAAGTAAAGGAAGAGTGGCTTAACACCCAAAAACACACACTCACACTCCATTATATTTCACAAAAGCATCTTTCGGCCTCTCTGCTTGAGTTCACTAAACACAATGGTTTGGGTATGGGGAGGCGGGGAAGCTCTTTGTGAGACTGCTGTGAGTGATACACACTTCTTTTCCTTTTCCTCCTTCCCTGCACTCTCCCACAATTCATCTCCAGGACAATGAGAATATCAGTTTTGGGATGTTCTCAAAGTCTGTATTAAGGTTCAAGAAACTTACCCCCAGATACGCATGTTTGAGCTGTTTTACCTGAAAAGCAACTTGGACATATCTTAAAATATGGTAGTGCTTATGGTAGTACTTAAATGTCCTAATTGAACTAAGGTCTTAATCTAAGCCCTGTCTGTGAAACCAGACCTTATAGTAGTATACTTAAAGTATGCTATAGCAACACTAATAACTTTTGTAGTGTGAATGTAGGTGAATCCTTTGGAAAGTTCATTAACCCATTCAAGTCCATGTGCAGCATTTTAGATAGCCATATACACTGTAAAAAAAATATTGTTGGTTTAACTTACAAAAGTTGCCTTCAAATTTTAAGTTCATGAACTGAGTTGATACAATGAAGGTGATTGATTTAATCATCTGAAACTCAAAATAAAATTTAAACTTAAATAAATTATTTAAGTTGATATGACAAAAGAAAAAATGTTGTGATAACAAATCTTGAAAAAATTTTTTTACAGTGCATGCTGTTTTAAATTGTTTATAAATATGATAATGTCGTTCTTATTTACTATTTTATTTTTTAGTTGTATTCTCCCTTATTAGATGAAATATACGTATATACATATGTGTGTGTGTATTGTTCCCTAAGGTGACTTGAAGCTTATTTTCATTAATGACCTGTAGCTTTACTCCATTCTCTTTTTTTCTCAAATGAGTAATTTTTGTGGTTTGTGCAAGTTTGTATTCTTGACCTCACTTTTTTGTGCTTAAAACACAGCAAGTGTTTTCCCTTTTCATCTTTTTCATGAGGCTTCTGCTTTTATTGTGAACCGCTGGCTTATTTTGTTGTTAATTAACTGCAAGCCCGAGGAATTGTGTGAACAAGCGTGCAAAGCTTTTTGAAGTGGGTATAAAATGGAAAGTCCGTCCAATTCACTTGTTAATGCAATTCAGTTCCTCTTTTCCTCCCTAACTCTCTCTCTCATACATATAATATTCACATTATCAAATTCTGAACTTGGCTGATGTGAATGTTATTTGATGTGAATGAGAAATCTAGGATTAGATTTTTGATCAATGTCTGTAAAGTAATTGTTATTTTGTATGTGTGTAATGTTTATTATCACTCAGTATGGGGCGGGATGTCTGTTGAAATGACAGATAGGAGTGCCTATAGTGTATCTACACATTGCAGACAAACAAAATATGTTTAGCTGAAAATTAATTATGCGTGAAATATTAAATATGAGCGGATTGTTAGGGGAAAATCAAGCAAAATATGGGCAATTTTTAAAGAAAGTATTGAATGACTGCACAAAACACCTCAGAAAAATGAGGAAGAAATAATTCTTAAAACATCTTGTCGTTCATTTTCTGGTGTCTCCTCTTCTCAGGGCGTTTTAGAAGGACCGTATAATCTTTACCGAGATGGGAAGATTACTGACGAGGCTGAATTGGTTGGGATTGAAATCATAGAGAAACTCTGTAATTATTACATTACCCCACTACTCCTGTCCCAACAGGGCTTTGACGCAAAGCAAGGAGATCTCTGATCAGATCAGCTCGAGATCCTCCCTGTCCGCGTGTGTATACTCCACATACAAGCCCAAACGTGCTCAACTCTGGTTTTTATTTAAACAACAGACATGTCTTTCACTCAGTGTGACTGAATGTAGGAAGTGTCATGTAACAGCTGACAAACCAGTACGATTGACAGGGCGATTGGTCCCATCCGAGGGGATTAAGACCACAGGAAGTGCTTAGACACATCTAGCCCTGGAGTCTGGGACTGATTCCATTCACTGACTCAGTCTAAATCACTCCAAACAGACTTCCCATGAGCTGTTCAGGATTACACCCAGGCATTTGAGAGTGATTGGGTCACCTCTCAGTGCAAGTGATTTACATTTGGTGAGCGGGTTTTGCCGAGAAAACCTCAGCTATTGGTGGTGACTCACATCCTGTTTTCGTTCAGTTATTGTGTCTTAAGGGCACGTTTAAACAAAGTGTGCTTGTTTGTTTTGAGTGTGAGTGTGTGTTTATCTCCTGTGTACTACTTCATATTTAGTCTGAGTTAGTGTGTGTTCTTGTGCATATATGAGTATGGTTTTATCAGATACATTGGGCTCAGTAAAGAAATAACAATGTGCACCAAAACTTTGAAGTCCTCCAATAATCCTTGTAAATCATCTGTCAAGGTCTCTTGTTTGTTTAAATACGGTAGATTAGTCAGAATAGAGCGAATGTAAAAGCCCCTCCTTATCCTCGCCCCATTTTCAATGATGTTATTATTTCCAAGTGCATTTGTACACTCTGCACATCCCTGTAAGCTTAGGGATAATGGGAAAATGTGTGAGGGATGACTTATCCGGGATTTGGTCCTGACTCATTTGATGTGGAGAAAGGTGTGGTGTTGAATGAATGATAATGAATCTTTTGATTCGGTTCCTTACTAAGAATCTGTCAAAGTGAGTTCACAGTTTGAATCATGCTGCGGAGACTTCATGTTTGCGCTGAAAGCGTTTTTCACTTTGAATGCCTACAAGATCACAAACAACTTTCACAATAATGTGGAATTATAATGTCTTTTGGACTATTGTAATGACTTCGGTCTGATTGGCTGTGTTTTTGTCTTTTCTGTGTGCCTTGTTGTCTTTGAGTAGCCTATATGTGCTTTGTTTTGACAGCTCGCCATGTGCTCTGCTGTCATTGGGGCATTTCCCCTCCCACTCCTTATCCCAAATTATCCATTGATTTCACACACCTGTTGCTAATTAATCACTCATTAATCTCCCCTGTTTTAGATCCTCTTTTGTCAGAATACCATTTTAAATTGTCATCCGCCAATAAAATCTCAAGAAGAAGCAGCTTAAAAAAAAGGAAAAAAAGCTATCTAGTTCAATGAGAAAAAGTCATTTAGATTCTAGATATCTTCATTTTCTCTCCTCCGTACACACACCAATTAAAATCAATATAGATTTGTTTTCTAATAGCTATTGACAATTTTGAATCTTTAATTAAATAGTAAGTCAAAATAAGCTATACTATTCTTGCCTACATTTGTTATCTGTTGTTCCCAGCTTGTTGCATTGTATTCTGGATGCTATCTAACACCGGAAATATTTTATTTAAAGAATAAAGCCTGGTTCACACGGGACGATTTTAAAATTTTCAGCGATTTTCCAAACCTGAGAGACCCCACACACGGCGATTAAAAAAAATCACGGGTCTAACAGTTTGGTCGTACATGTGGTGCGCAGCCACACGGCAAAATCAACACATCCAACGCTATCTCACGACCAATTCGTACAAATTCGTATGAGTGATTAAAAAGTGTCTAATTCGTACTTATTCATATGACATATGATTTCTCTAAACCCACGTGATGGGTAGGTTTAGGGGAGGGGTCAAGGGTAGGTCATTCGCACGAATTAATACGAATTGGCCAACTCATAAAACATATATGATTTAGCAAAAATCATACTAATTCGTACGAGTGAGGTTGTACGAATTGTCACGAATTAGCCACCTCGTAAAATTCATACGAATTGCAATGAGATCGGGGTGACACATCACAAACAAACCGATTTGACTCCTGAGCATTCTCAGGTCAGACGGAAAAACTCGCCAAATCCCTCGAGATAAACAATAATGGCGGATGAAGAGGATGCAGTGATAGTTTGTAGTTGTTTTTTTTAACCGAGAAAGAAAAAAAAACATTATCAAAAGAAAAGACGATGGTCAAAGAATCTCCAACATCCACTGGATTTTCTGGTGCACCATGAGGCCGGCTGTATGGTTTAATCAAAACAGTCCTATATATAGAAATGATGCATATTTAAACAAGATAACGGAGCTGTACAAGTTTTAAAATAGATAAATAAATCCATATATTTTGATTAGGACATAATTTAGTCTACATTAGGCCTAACATAATATACTGTATCATGTTTCATCCTTGATGTCCAATGTAAAATCTGGGTCACATTTAGAACCACTTTTATTTCTAACAAACACTCACACTTCCACACAACAAAAACTGACTAAAAAAACAGCTCTGCATAAAGCCTTGTTGTGAACCTTTCACCTTATGGCTGAGATATTCATAAGGTGGGCAAACACCTTATGAATATCTCCGCCATAAAAACCACTTGGCCTTCTTTAACTGCTTACTACATCTGTGGTATGTCCTCTGGTTTCCACAATGAGTTCAGGTGACAGGGGAGCAGAGATACACATGACATGCCTGTCATAGCAAGCATGCCAACAGAAACCCAACTCCTCTCCTCTCCTGAACCTTTGTGTGCTCAGAATAGAGCCAACAAGACACAAGCGACACACTTGAGCTCTTTGATCCAACAGATGAATCTAACCACAGGAAAGTTTTATTTACGTTTATGGCTTCAGGCCTGAATGCGGTGGAACCGATGGATGTCAGAACAGATGTTTCAGGTGTTTCTGAAAAAGTTCGAATATTTCCAGAGTGATAGATGATGCCAACAGCGCAGGTGTATAAAGCATGCTCTCACATAAAAGTCTCAAACAACTTGTAAAGATGTTTTATTACTTGACTTAATTGTTTATTTTTATTGTAAAAAGGTTGCTGTAAATTTTACAGTAACTTACTGGCAGCTGGATGTAGTATCAGTACTGTAATTTAATTTACAGTAATACAGTCGTATACTGTATTAATATTTACAGTACGAGTACAATATTTACAGTATTACTGTATTTTAAAAAATACTGTATATTGTATTCATGAGTACAACTACTGTATTTTTATTTACAGTATTAGAATTGATTTCCCATTACATAATTACGATTTACAGTAGAAAATAATTACAGTAGTAAACACATAATTTTGGCTATTTACAGTATTATACTGTACATATTACAGTAAAATACTGTTAAAATTACAAAAATCTGTTACAGTGTATGCAAAGTAGTATTTGGCTTCATGTGATAGATAGATAGATGGATAGATGGATAGATAGATAGATAGATAGATAGATAACTCCATAATTTCATTGTGGAAAGTTTCTCTTACTTTTCCGTATCTTGATTTTTTTACCCTTTCAGGCATCCCCACTTTCTGAAAGCAGCACTTGAGCAACATGAACTCAAACACACTTGCCAGTGCTTTCATAAGTCCCTCTGCTCTTTCCAAGAGGATGTTCCGACCTCTGAGAGATGTAATTCACCTCTGGCATGTGCATCTGCACCAAAAATCTGATGCTTTCTTAACCAAACAGACTAAGAAACATGGCTATACCTTTTGAAATCTAGATTTATTGGCAGTAAAAAAATATGATTTTCTAATTTATTAATACTAATTTGACAAGGAATACGTTTTCTAGATGATAAAATCGACCTTCTTGTGGAGAAAGTGTTTAGATAAATCCAATATCATCATAAACAACGATTATCAACAATTTCTGAGATGATTCATTATGCTTTTGTCATATACAGTAGCTAAACATGCCCACTACATGCCAGAAAATATGATTTACTGTCGCCTTGTTACTTCAAACTGTTTGAATGCCCCTTTAGAAAGACACGTTAACATTAGCAATGAAGACATCGGCGGAGAAGATTAAGTGTCCCGATGCTTGTTGGAGAGCCCTGGCTGTGCTCTTAGCACTGTTATATAAATCCAGAGAAAGATTTCAACATAATCATTCACCAACAATAATCAATCATTCTCAGATCTTGGCAGCCCCAGCTTTAAATGTTCCACGTGCTGGACAATGTTGGTCTGACTGCAACCCCATCGGCATCATGTGTGCTCGCAGGATTGTTTTTGATTCTAAGTGGACCTCTTTCTCTCTTTTCTTGTGCTCTATCTCAGTATCTGCTGTGGTACGCTGTGCACTTTTGTGCATGTCCAGACCTGTTTCTCTCCATCCAACAAACAAGCCTCAAGTTTGAAATAAATATAAGACGCCACATTGTTCTGATGACTTTCATTAGCTGCTTCTAGAAGAAGAAAAAAACATTAAAATAATCTAAAGGATCACTGTGGCAATCAGGCAAGAGAAGACGTATGTAGGCCTACAGTTTAAATCACAGTCAGAGACAGCTGTATTGTAACTTGGTAAGGCTTAAACTTGAATCCTGACATAGCTAATGATCACTTGTGTTGTCCACTATAACAAGTGCTATGGTATAATGATTACAGGGCAGCAACTGTTTCTAGAGGCAAAGTCACCGTGGGCCACAGAGATACATGTGCATGCACGTTTACTAGCTATCTAAATGAAGTCATGCCATTGACATATATACTTGTCATTGACTTCTGTTGTACATAAATTGTGCAAATTATGATTGGTGGTTAGCTCTAAACTTGACTGTTTGAAGATGTCTTCATATATTTCTGTGGGGGCATTGACTTTTGGCTTTTTAAATAAATAAGATAAGGTACTTTAGTTTAGGGTCCAATTCTCATTATGAACTATTTGCTTATAAGGATATTGGCTGCTGTTTATTAGCCTACTTGTAAAGTACATAATGCCTTCTCCATGACCTTATTCTATGTATTCTATGTTATTAATACCTGAATAACTACCTTACGGACTATTAATCATCAGTAATTAGTTGAGACAAAAGTCGTAGTTAAAAGAACCCTAATCTAAAGTGAAAGCATAATGGTCTTTAAATAAAGTAAACATTATGCGGCAGTTTCCCGGACAGAGATTAAGCCTATAGTCCTAAAATGGCCCTTTAAACTAGACATAAACATAAACATAAATCTGCTTTCTCTGTCATGGCTTTAAATAGTCCTAGATAAGATGAATTCCTGGAGATGACAGCTACTCCAGGACTAAATTGAGCTTTAAATTAAACCAGGAGGGACGTTTAATTTCAGATTAGCATTTTTTTTGCAAGATGAAAAAAATGGAGAGACTTGTTAATGTTTAATGTTCTATTATTGTAAAAGTGTCGTTTAGAACAATTTATTTAGGCATAAATTACATTTATTTCGTTATTAAATAATAACACATTAAACAAGTAGGCTAGTCTACACATAATCGTGAGAACCAGCCAGATCTTTTCCACCCCAAAAAAAATGCCGGCATAAAGGAACCGCATCAAGTGAGAGCGTCGATCGCGTTGAAGGCATCCATCGTCTTTAAACGACACTTATCCACGATAATGCCGTCAACGTATTATTTTAGAGTTCTACACAATAAAATTAGAAGTGAAGGCATAATTACAGGGCAAGAGTAAAGACTGTCTCGAGAAGGAGGGAGACGGAGGAAAGTCCTGCCCTTTCTGAAAGATTTCCTGTTTGACTAGGCGAGCAGAAAGTCACTGGAGCTCACAGATTCCCTCAGTGACTGTTCACTTGAGCAGCATGAAACGCTCTCCTTCACTCCGGATCAGACGCTAAAATCACTACGCTTTCTGGTCAAACAACGCCAGCCTGTTCACGTACACATTAATGCGAGGGTTACGGACACGTTTGCGTTTCTAATGGAGCAATATCGGCTTTCTCTTCTCTGTTGGGGGACTTTTTTGATATCTACGGGTGTCCTGGATCGGAACGTAGTCGGTGAGTGAAAGTCTTGACACTTCTCGCGCGCTCCTTGACTTGGCAGGTATATTCACGTGTAATTTGTAAATGTGTGTTTTTGTGCAAGAGGATACCTATGTTTTATCATCCACTGTGACTCGTGAGATCACAGAGCAGCGTTTGTTTCTTGACTGCTTACTTTTAAAAGCGTGCAACAGGTGAACGCATTCAGTGAACGCCAACTTCAGCGTTGTTTTTTTCCTGTGCAGATTTCAGGAATTATGTAAGAAGCAGCATATTGCTCAGGTGTTTCAATATGACATCAGTTCCACAAAATGCAGTTTTTTTTTTGTCTTGTGCAGGCTTAACTTTGCACGTCTGTTCTTGACTTAAGCAGAGGTGATTTTGTGTTTGTAAAACCGATAGATAGATAGATAGATAGATAGATAGATAGATAGATAGATAGATAGATAGATAGATAGATAGATAGATGTGTGTATGCAATGTGTATGTTACTCCTTATGAAGTGGCTGAAAATTACATCAAATAATAATACTATGGTGCTTTGATAAAAACCATGGTGCTGAGTGATTGCCATATTTGTGTACAATAAATAGCCTTCAAAGTAGGATATTGGCATTCCCTTTAAATATGACGATATCAGAACTATGTCCTTTATGTCATCCCAAACTTAAGATGACCTTAATGCTAATTTATAGAAATGGAAGGAAAAAACCCATGGTAATGTGACATGCATCGTTGCAGTATTATGAAATCATACTTTTTTTGGCACTTGAAATGATATACATTCTGTCTCTTGTAGCTTTGAAATGCAAGGGAATCAATCACTATTCCTCTAATTGCCTGCATGACATATTAACATGTTAATGCATCAGGCTGTTTCTGTTGTTATTCCCTTTTACGTGTGTGTGCGTGCACAAGAGAACGCCCTTACTCGCTGACAGCTGAAAAACATTACGAGTTTTCAGTTGTAGTGGAAGTGTTTGACAGTGCGCTTGAGACGTTTTTCCATTTCACCCAGCCCCGCATCCTTCCTCCTATTGGTATAAATTGTTTATCTCTTTCTGTCCTGTCATTAATTTCAGCCTCTGTGATTACAGGTTACTTTAGACACTAATTACACTCACTGAACTCCTCCCCACCTCACGCCTGTGATTATACAGCAGGATATGTTTGTCACGGCGCTGGCATATGCTCCGTTTGGTGGAGGAACAGAGATATTTCTTACAGAAATCATATTTTCCAGATGTCCGGCTACATCTTTGCCACTTCCTGTTTCCAGCCTTGCTTGGCTGCATGTAGTTCTGCACACTTCGCTGCTGAAACACACTAGCACTGTGTGCTGCATTTCAGCCACATGCAGGACTTTTGCCCTGCTTGTTTTAGGTGTTACAAATAGCATCAGACAGCCCCATATGTAGCTACGACAGCTTCCTATTGGTGTCTTTACTTAGAATGTATACTCTTATTTCTCACCTACACATAGGTCATTTTAAGGCAATCTATCAGGCACATCAACAACAAAAAATGCATGAGTTTGAGTCACTCTCCCCTCAAGTTTTAGAGTACAATCAATTGTGCTCGGATTTTATCGAAATGTACAGTCGTTATGTTCGAAATAAGACCTTTAATTCACATTATTGCGAGAACTACGGACAGATTGCATTTCTAATGGAGCAATATCAGCTTTCTCAGCTTTTTGGGGGTACTTTTTTGATATCTATGGGTGTCCTGGGTCGGAACGTAGTCGCTAGTCGGTTCTCTGTGAGTACAGTATATTCACGTGTAAATGTGTGTTTTTGTGCAAGAGCAAGAGGAGACCCATGACTGCTTTTAACAGCTGAACCCATTCAGTGAACGCCAACTTCAGCGTTGTTTTTTCCTGTGCAGTTTTCAGGAGTTATGTAAGAAGCAGCATATTGCTCAGGTGTTTCAATGTGACATCAGTCCCACAAAATGCAGGTTTATTGTCTTGTGCAGGCTAAACTTTGCACATCTGTTCTTGATATGAGTGACCTGAGCAGACGTGTCATTGATATTGTGTTTGTATAAAGCATTATCTTAGTGTATGTTTCATTATTGTCTATATTAAAGTTGACGTCATAGATAGATAAATAGATCGAGATACATAGGGGTGTGTGTGTGTGTGTTATACAAGTTATATACCCCTTATGAAATGGTTAACGATGATATCAGATGGTAGTGGGGCTTTGATATAAACTATGGTGCTGAATGATTGGCAATTTGGCATATTTGTGTACAACAAATAGCCTTCATATAGAGGATGTTGGTAGGATGTTGGCATTTCCTTAAAATATGACATGTCAGAACTATATGATGTTTCATAAACAACGTTCGCGAGGAACACCTTATAATAATCAATCCAATCAACTTCTCATCTCACAATTACCCTGTCTCGGCATGAAAAGAAGCATATATTTAGGCTTGAGACACCCATATATGCAGATGTGACACTTGCCTTCCTATAGGTCTCTTTATTTATTTATTTATTTATTTTTTTTTTGCATCATGCACAAAAAGTAACAAATTCATACACATTTGGTTCTTGTTATGTGTGCAGTGCTCAGATTGTCCGAAATTTTACAGTTACCGTATAATTGCTTAGAAATACCATAGCACACAACTCTTTAAAATAAAGTTGACAACGATCTCTCTCTAGACACCATTTTAGGGGCCCAAATGGGCCGCCAGAGCCTGTTCTGCTTATCTAGAGCTGTACTCTGCTTATTGTAATGTTCAGTACTTAAATGACATTTGAAAAAAGACCTGTTCAAATCTGATAGAGAAGCGTTTAAACTGCCAAACTACTGCAAGTGATTTCCCTTTGGCCCTCTGGACAAGAATCACATATTTTGAAGTAAAAAAAAAAGGAAAATCCTCCAGAATCAGATTTCATAATTTCGCCTATGTTATGAATACTGTCCAAAGAAAATAGTGTGAGGTAATGGCTCTGCATTATATAATGTTATCCAGTCAGACCAAGCAGTAGATAAAGAGTCAGTGAGCAGCTCTCGCGGAGTAAAAAGCTCCTTTGTAAGCCCTTGAAGGCATGTGAGACTCAGGCTAGTGGATGAAGGTTGTGAGTCCGATCTTGTGTTTACCGAAGCCTCTCCGGGCCTCTACGCCGAGAACTCAAAAAAAGCTATCTCATGATGAGAAAGGGAGTCACATAACCCCAAAATGGCTGCATCTGATTTGACCATATTTGTCTTTGTATCCTCGTGGCCGACACAATCCCCTCTTGGCTCGCTCCAATGAACTAGAGACTAAAAGGGCACGTAGTCCTGCTTATCTGCCCGGCTCTAAAGATAGAGCTAAAGCAGCCAAAAATGTCAGTGGATGGATCATAAGATAAAATTGTGTCATACTGTATATGTTTTTAATTTGCAGTCAAGCCAAACGTATAATGCCACAAAACAGTGCCTTTAAACAACATTTAATAGAAACATACTTTACAATCTACAATCGATTTTCAGCCATAATTTGAACACTCATTGCTTAATAATATGGGCTTGTTAGTGTTGCAAAGGGAGTGATTGGTTGGTTGATTCTTCAGTATAAGTGTCTTGGCTGTTGTTCTGTGGAAGGAAAGCCACACATCCGCTCTATCAGTGCTTCCTTCCTTGGTCAGGTCACCCGTTCCGTCCTTTCCAGAAGAGCAGCGGAGATAGATTGAGGAGTGAGAGCTGAGTTAAGGGAAAATGATGGCGGACTAATTTGTAAGTGATTCTGGATTAAGTGAATTTTAAGTGGAGTTTACACTGACAGCAATTTGTAGTGACTACATCATTCATTTTCAGTGAAAGTGAGTGAATTGAGGTGATATTAGAGATAGCAGACCACTGATAAGCGCCATTATGTTGGTCACTTTAAATGTATTTTACAATACATTTGCACACCCACACACACATACATACATATAAACACATAAGGCCATATATAGCCACATTATCCAAAATACATATGAAATAGATATGTTTTAGCTGAGTCTTGAAGGTAGATAAATATGGGATATCACAAAGTGTAAGGGATGGTGAATTCCATAATACAGTCGGATGCTTTCTGGCAATTTAGTGATGAGCCGATCATTTTCATGATAAAGTCCCATACATATTTGGCTGAATAAATGACAAACAAAATGTTAAATACTAAAATAAATACTGTGAATATGCATCACACCATTATAATTTATAGATTTGCTAAAGATTAAACTATTAGGTTAAGTTTAAGGGACTGTTGGGTGATGATAAGGGTGATATTTATGTAAAAAAAAGGGGAAATGAGCATTCACAATTAAATGTATACAACATTAACCAATATGATACAAAAAACTAATTTTGTCTGATAACTGATATTGTACTGAAATATTGTGCACTCCTAATTTAAATACCGTGTGAATCGGTGTTATTTTATTATTTTTCATATATTGTTAAAGTATAAGCTAGATCATTGAAAATTGGCTTTTTTATATTTGTCATTTTTTTGTTATTTTTTTGGTCTCTATTTAGCATTATTTTCATTTTAGTTAGTATTTCAGTTAGTTGCAAAGGCAACATTTTATATTTTCATTTAAATGTATAATTTATCTATTTTTATATTTTATTTTATTTCAATACATACACTCTAAAAAATGCTGGGTTGTTTTAACCCAATTTTGGGTAAAATATGGACAAACCCAGGCTGGGTTTGTCCATATTTTACCCAAAATTGGGTTAAAACAACCCAGCATTTTTTAGAGTGTAAAAACATATTTTTCCCTAACACTGCAGTGAATGTACTTTTATGTAACTCTTAATTTCGTCATTTTTTCTTCACCGAACCCCCTTTAATTATAATTAGAACAGTACTGTGCTGTTTTTAATGAGTTTGCTGTTTGATTAATGTGTTTAAATATCAGTTGGGCTTTGCAGTATGGCTTGCTTCTATGTCTTTCAGTGTGTTTAAATGACCAGTGCCCCTTTAAGTCCCGAGAGCCACGGTGGCCTTTTATCACAGGAAAGTCTAGGAGGTGTGTGGTACTCCAAAGAGCAGCTAAACTAACAGATTACGTAATACAGTTTAACGACTTCTTATGGATTGGCCAAACACAGACGTGCTGCAATTGAGAAAGCATACACACTGAGAAATGACTCATACGACACCAAACTAGGAACCCCTTGCGTGTTCTTGAATTCACCTGGGTCTGTAAAAGATCTACTGACCCAGTGGCAGAAGCATAACTTGTCCACTGATCTGAGGTCTTGATCTATTTCTTTACTCAGGAGTTTGATGCTATTTGGAATGCCTCTCTGTGCTAGTGTCTCCTTGATTGCATCAGTGCATTTAGGTTAGATTTTCAGGAAGCTGACAAGAGTGCTGCAGATCAAAGCAGGGCATTGAAAAGCAGATAAAGAGCAGCATGTATAACTGATAACAGAAACATCCAGCATTTCATCTTTCACTTTTTTTGTAGTCACTTAGGAATGCCCACACTATTGAAGAGCATTTGACTTTAGTACAGATTTTGCACATCTCTACTTTACTTGATCTGATACTGTGTTTGAATGTTAGTGAGGTTGATTATTTTTTCTAGTTTTGATATTTTAATGTAATACCATGTCTAAAATCCATTTATTCTTTGTGTCAGAAGTAGCGAGAGTGCTTGAAGTATGTCAGATATTGAACAGGGCAGCAGTTTACCGTTGGAGATTTGTCATGTTTTATCGCTTTACAACCAGTGGATACAACATTACTGATTATAATGGGTTCTATTTCCTTTTGTTGCGTCACTCGTGTCTGGTGTTGTCATGGTTTAATGCCTCTGGCTTAAAACCATAAGCATTGCATTGTTAGATAATGTTCAAAAAACACGTCTGAGTGACGAGACCTCTTCATTTTGTCAGGTTGTATATTACGTAAACAACCCCTGAAAAACTAGTCCAATTCATTATATAGGGTTTCCTAGTGGTAAAATGTCATTGTGCTCATTACTTTGTCAAGCACAAGTACAAACAAGTAAGTAAAACACGTGATCTTGTTTCTGTTTTATTCTAGATGGGATGCATCCTTTTCATAATTCATTTCGACTTCCTCAACTATGTAAGTTCTGTGACGTGGAGGCATCGTATTGTAATGGCAACGGCACCTGTGAAAGCAACTGCAGCATCACATCCATCTGTTCCAATCCTGATGAGATCTGTGTGGCTATCTGGTATGTTACTGTCAAAGCCATGTTTTTTTATCAAGTGTGAAACATCTGCTTTGCAAACAAACAGTCAAAAATCACGACTACATCTTGTTTACAGAATGCAATATTATTCAAATATTTAAAAAAAAAAAAGACATGAAATCAAAATTGACCCTTAAAGGGACAGTTCATTTTGAAATAAATTTTTGATGTTTTAGTTTACCTCAAGGGCATCCAAGATGTAGGTGTCTGTTTCCACAGGATTTTCAATTTTGATATTTTTAGGTCAAACCGTTCTTGTCTGTCAGTCATATAATGGAGGTCTATGGTCACCACCTCAAAGAGCATGCACAGAGAAGTCCAAATTAAACATGATTTAATGACTCATAAATGTAAGTAAACATTGATGGCCCAAGACACGAAACGAGCGGTTTGTGTGAGAAATGAACAGTATTTATATCTTTTTTTTACCTCTTGTAATCACAGTCACAACAAGTACTCTGAAGGTGAGAGCGCTTCTCTCTGCGCAAGTGCCGGAAAGCCCCGGGAGTGATCTCTCGCGCCTGTACGTCTCTCATTGTTTACACAGAGATTTCAGAAGTGTTACCCTTCACTGTGAAGATCTAAGCATATTTAGATATACAGGAAATTGCAATGGAAGACGATTTTGATATATCAACAGACTGCGTTTTTCACAACCGATGATCACTTCCGGTGCTGGTGCAGACCGAAATGCCCGTGCCTTCAGATCACTTGGAAGTGGCTGTGGTTATAAGTGGTAAAAACTATATAAATACTGTTTGTTTTCTCACAAAAACCGCTCATTTCGTGTCTAAGGCCATCAATGTGTACTTACATTTACGAGTCATTAAATCATGTTTAATTTGGACTTCTCTGTGCATGCTCTATTATATGACTGATAGACAAGAACGGTTTGACCTAAAAATATCAAAATTGAAAAACCTGTGGAAACAAAGACATCTTGTATGCCCTTGAGGTAAGCTAAAACATAAATCAAATATTAATTATAAAGTGAACTATTCATTTAATTTATGCCCTTGTCTCTGTACATATGGTTCTAAAAACAGTAGTTTCACTACTACTGAAGCAAATAACCCAGGCCAAATGGTGTGGAAAAAAAAAATATTATCCAATAGTCTAATATTTCATAATCCAGTACCAAAAATAATATCAAGTACCTTGTTTTACTCTGAAATATGTGACATTGAAGTTAAATGAGCTGTGAATGCCATTTCATGTTGTCTTTAATTATGTAAACAGTGCAGTTAAAAATAGCAACGAGTCATTGCTGTATCTAACTGCTTATTATGTTTGCTGGTGAAGCAACAAGTGGATGCGCAGTTTATATTTTATTGTCAACGTCCATTAAAAACGTAAAATAACAAAAATGTATTTTGGATTCAGAAACTAACTATCATTTGATATCATAATCCCTTTAATCACAGTGTAATTGTATTTATGTTCTCTTTATGACATCAGGAGGAAGAGCAATGACAACAACACGATTGAGACATTGTGCCACAATCCCTCTGAGCCCCTCTACGGCCTCATGCTGGAGAACTACAACAACACCAAGTGTGAAATGAGAAAGAAGACGTCAAACACAGGCCCTTTCTACATCTGCTCCTGCAAGGGCGAGGAGTGCAACGACAAGCTAATGTTCACATTCTGTTAGTTTCCACTTCATTCTTCCTCTCTAGTTTTGTCTATCCTCCACTTCTTGTGTCATTGATAGTACTGGTTTAGGACAGCAGCTTAAAACTGTAGATTCAAACCATTGTGTCCTTGAGAAAGGTTCTTCAGTTTGATCAGGTTGACAGGCTCAGAAGTTCTCTCTGCTGATTGTGATGGAAGAGCTGTGGAAAAATGCAGGAATTGATTTAAACATGGTAATTTGTTCAAATGAAAGCTGAATAGTACGTATTTATTTGTAGATGAAAGCATAATCAATTGAACATTGTACTTTCTTTATACATGTTCCCTGTCTATTATTCCAAAGGTCATAATTTTTCATCAAAATCACCATTGCCTCTGAAACAACTTTCCTTTTTGTATTTGGCTGACCTAAAATATCATTTTCAATTGCAACAAACCCCTTTCCCTCCAAACACCTGGCTCTATTCTGGTGATTTTCACAATCCATTCAATTCCTGGTGGATAAAATCAAGCCCTGCCCATTTTTTTCTTGTTTAACATTCTTTTTTTTACTCTGAAATACAGTAGATTATGGAAATAAAATGGGTGCGAACACCATTTAGATGCCAAGCACTGTTGTTTACTAAAACAAAAACTATTGAAAAATGTTTTTTTTTAATTGAAATAAAGCTGAAATAGAATGTAAATATTAATAAATATATAATAGAATATAAATATTAGATGAGAAAAAACTCTTAATTTGAAATTTTTCATTGGCAAATAAGTGAAAGTACTAAAATTACTAAAAGTTAAATAAAAATAGCTAAATGGAAATAAAACAAAATGAACAAAAATGACAAAAGCACATACAATTACTAAAACTTAAATTAAATTAATACTGAAAAGATCAAAGTTTAAGCTATTTCAAAATACGAATACACATTAGTATATAAATAATTCAAAAATAACACTAGCCTAATGGAAAAAGTGGTCATTTTACGAATGAGGGGCTTTCCAATTTTGTGTTAATCTTCAAGGTTTAGATTCCGTGTGGGTATGCGAGTGTGTAAACGAAACTAGATTATTCTGAACTTTTGAAGCATCTCATGTGATGTAGCCTACATCACACCTCTGTGAGGTTTTCCATAGACTACAGAAACCTTGTATAAGTAATGAATTGTGTTTCAGCTAGTTTTAGTTTTGCTAGGGCTACACTTTCTTTCACCACACGAGATAAATAGCAATCAACTGAATTTAATCACAAAGGCCATTAGAATATATTTAACTACAAGCTGAAACAGTCTGCATTAGCATAAAATGCTAACTATTTAGCACTGGCTCGTAGCGAGTACCTCGCTGTGGTATGCGAGCTCAGGTTGTCGTAACGTTCTAAAGCAGCTGCATTGTTGCTGGCCAGGCTGTGCTGTCTCAGGCTGACTTTCTATTGGCTTTAGTTGTGTGGACGGCTAAGGATCTCAGACATGTGGTTTCCTGTCTGTGTAACTTGAAGCAGAGACATCACAACCACATGGCAAAACAGCTGTGTGCACTAGGCATGCTCTAAAATAACCTTATTTACCACTATTTGGAACGTTTATAGCAATTTTTGTGTATTTTAAAAAGCCACAATTTCATTTTTATGCGAGCAACATCCACATTGTATGTTTTTATAAAACCTAAAACAGTAAACAGGGATTTCTGAGTTGGGGGGAAATGTGATTCCTTTATTTCTGTATGTAAACACATCTCTCGTAGGCTAATGAAGACAGATGCTATGATGTTAAACTGTGGATATAAGTTACAAAAATGCCGTTTGAGCAGGTGTTTGATGCCTGTAGTGTTGACTATGTAGGGAGGCTGTAATTCCATCCGGTGAAGGAGGCCTCATTCCCTGCTAGAGTGTGGAAGTATTGCAGGAAGTCCATGTTTACTTATTGGAACGGTTCCATGGCATATTTCCCCAGAAATGCCTGGCATTGTTTTCCCGGACCATAACAATTTTATGACATTAACTGTGGCTGAGAGCCTGCACGTTACAGCGATAAGCTCCCTATTCTGTATTCGACTGGAGACTTTATTATGGCAGCTGCAGGGTGTACACACCAGCTTATAATTACATACTGCACAGCAGACCTTTCTCGTATAGCAATTTTACACATATTTTTTTGCTGAATCAAATAAACAGAAAGTCACGCTTACAGTACTTTTGGCCTAGTTGGACTTTTTAGGTGGAAAGTACACTGTGAAAACTAAAGGTGCCTCAAATATCCATTTTCTGTACTCGGGGAACTAAATTATATTTTCTTTTGTATTTATTTTTTACACTGTTTTAACCCTTATGCTGCATTAGGGACATTTTTGGTCTTTTGCAGTTTAATTTCTTTGACCATTTTGGCTGTTTTAATGCAAATGGTATGAAATTTGGCAAAATTGTGACTTTTTGGATACATGTAAAAAATGTGATCCCATTTTGCAAAATATGTATAACACACACTGTGTAGATCAAATAGTAACACTCAGCACCATGAAGACCAAAAATGGCCCATTGAAACCCATTAAAACGTTGTTTAAATCAGAGGCTGTCAGTAATACATGAAACATGATTTTTGCACAAGCATCCTTTCATTTTGAAGCAAAAGCATTATATTTGCATTATATAGTGTATTCCACCAGATGACGTCACTACATATTTATTCCCTATGGGTGGAAATGCACCTTATTTTAGGCAATAGGCAATGTTTAATAGGTGGCCATTTTTGGTCTAACGCGCTAAGTGGGATTTTTTGCAAAGTGGGACTGTGATAATCCAAATCTAAAGTTTTCTCTTTGCATTTTAGTTTATTGAAAATAATTGAATTTTTGTGTTTTTTCCTCTTATACAAATCGATGGTTTCGCAAACAAAACTGGTAATTAAAGGGTTAAAATCCTGAAATTGAATACATTTTTGGTAGTTATGATGAGGACTGATGCTGGTTAAAAGATTTAACTTGGTAAAAGTGGAAAATAATAATAATATATAATATTTTAGGCAATGTTTAATATGTGGCCATTTTTGGTCCTTAATGCACTCAACGGTGTTAAAAATCTAATGCAGCACAAGGGTTAAAGTGCCCCAAATATCTTTCCTCTTCTTGATGGGTTGCCGGAGGACTATCAGTCATCATAGATAAACAAACAGATATAAATTAGAGCCCGACCGATAAAGGATTTTGAAGGCCGATACAGATACAAATATTGTTGGTTTTAAAATCCGATATTCCGATATATCGGCCGATATTTTTAATTTTTTCAAAAAATTAGAGTACCCTGTGGTGGACAAACTATACAACTCCAATACTCATGACATGGTTGAAGCGTGTTTTGTCCATTTTTATTTTATTTTTGAAATATTCAAAAATAATTTTTTTTTTCAAAAATTAAAAATTTTTGAAATATTTATCGGCCATTATGACTGCCGATACCGATAGTTTAGAAAATGCCTAATAACGGCCGATATTATCAGCCTGCCGATAAGTCGGTCTGGCTCTAATATAAATATGTGTGGCTTGTAATATGTTATTCCCAACAATACAAATATTGTTGGTTTTAAAATCCTATATTACGATATATCGGCCGATATTTTTTTTTTTTTTTTTTTTAGAAAATTAGAGTACCCTGTGGTGGACAAACTATACAACTCCAACACTCATGACATGGTTGAAGCGTGTTTTGTCCATTTTTATTTTATTTTTGAAATATTCATTTATCGGCCATTATAACTGCCGATACCGATAGTTTGGAAAATGCCTAATATCAGCTGGCCGATAAATCGTAATAGCAACATAGTGTCGGCCCAGATCCGGCCCACATCTATGTAGCTATGTAGCTCTCTAGTTTTGTATTGCAAGATTTCAGTTCCACATTCACAGTCATTATGGTGTTTGAATGATGCATATGTCAGCATGAAAAATGATTGTCTTATAGACAAAACCCCAGACAAATGAATAGAGGGAAATGGAGAAACTGTGGATTACAGTTATTAGTTTACCATTTTTTAAAAAAATATTGTAAAGCAGTTTCTGCTGAAATGTATCTAACTCACCTGCAGTATATTAGTGCTGTTCCTCAAAATGGAGTTTGTGCAAACATTCCAGTAAGCAAACAGTGAGTGAAAGCACAAGCCACAGAAACGGTTAGCACTTCAGTGAATGATTTCGTAACATCTTGTTTGTTTAAATTTGGCTCTGAAATGGGATGATGATGTGAGAAATGAAGACAAATTGATGTCACTGTTTAAAGCAGACACATTTGGTGCTACTCTCTTCACATTGGTGGCCATTATTGCCTGAGTGCTTCAGCAAATGTACATTTGTTTCTAATAAGCAACTCGTAAAGCTTGTCAGGAGCGTTGAACTTTTCATTGTGGTTTGCACACATGTTTTTCTGTTATTTGACTTGTAAACTTGATTGGCTCAATCGGAAGGAACATGAAGTGAATATGGAACCTTGGAGGCGTCTTGATTTAGAGGTCCTGGAAGCCTCTCTTGTTTTTTTTTTTTCATGACACGCAACAGTGTATATACCATCACCGTTGCGCAGTGAGCGAGATTCACACTCAACTAGGTTGTTATAGGTCATTGCTGGAGTTATGAATAATCCTGTTAGATTTTTGAATGCAATAGACAGGCTATACCATGTTTTAATGTGGCGTATATGTATTCACACAGAATTACATATTGTGGCTAACAGTTTATCATATAATATAATGTTACGTTTTTAACTAATTGTCTTTTATTCCTAATAATTTATCAAAATCTCTTTATTAAAAATATATGATTATTGATTATTATCATTAATCGTTATCTTAAGTCAATACAATTATTATTAGATTCTTTTTAATTCTGTTGACACAAATTATTTATTTATTTTATAATTTTTTTAATTCGTTTTTGAGTATATTTTCTCTTAGCAACCATACATTAAATAAAAATAATGAAAAACCTACTAAATAATGTACATATACATACAAATATTATATATTTAATGATATGTTTTATTTAATATATACTTCAACTTTACTTGAACTGATAAACTGATTCAGTTTACTTGAAACATATCATTGTGTGTGGCTTGTAATATGTTATTCCCAACACTGCTGGTTTCATTACGCAAAATATTCTTTCTTAGATTTTGTGGAAAGCATGCATTATTCTTTCCCAAGATGACAATCCAGGCCATTGGCCTGACAGGACAAATAAGTAGCAGCATGTGTCTGTGTCTCACTGGAATATTTCCAACCTGAAAATATGTTTCTACTCAGTTGATCTTTTATCATAGGTTATTTTGATGGAAAGAAGAACATAAAGGAAAGGAAGAAGAGTGCAAACTGAGGATCAGTCTGTCTGAGTAGACTTTATTTTCAACCCAACCCTGACCTGCACGTATACAGTACCTATATGCTGGTTGGCAAACACACCCACGCTCACATGCTGAGGAATCTTGGCCTCCGGTTGTAGAGCAGACAGTTAAAATGTCTGAGTCACACCGTGAACGCCAACGAGAGACCAAGACGGTGTTAGTGAGAGAGAGAGAGAGGGAGGGGGGGAGGGAGAAAAAAAAGAAAAATCAGACTTGTTTGTGGTATGAGCCATGCTATAAAACAAAGCCGTAGTCATAACAAACAAACAGTAACAGGTCTGTCTTTTTCATGTACAGCATGTTATCAATTTCAGTTCTCTCCAAAAGGCAATAACATGAACATATGGGAATCCTCACTTTGAATTCTGACATTTTCATAAGTAAATGCGAAATTTCATGTTCAGAGATTTTATTAACTGGAAAAGTCATGGAAAGTCATGCTCGGCTTTAAAGTATTTTGTTGATAAGTTGCTTTTTGTGAGTGTAAGGATTAAAATTGTAAAAAAAAAAAATGTTTAAAGTCTAAGTGTTTTAAGTGAGTGTTAGATGATGACGGGAAACAAAAAGTATATTTATTTAATAGATTTGGCAGAAAGTGACTCACTGCATTCATATGTTTGCATTTCCTTTAGAAGTCAAACCCATGACCTTGCCGTTGCTTGCGTCATGCTCTGCTGTTTCAACATGGCGTCATGACTTTTGTGTAAACATACACGCCATTTTCAAGTCAAGTGGCGTGTTATCTATCCGCGTTTTCAGCTATCCTCGTGTATGTGTGTGTATGCGTGTATGTCTACGCCGTTAAATGTCTGAGTGGTTCCACGTGTATGTACACGCCGTTAAATGTACGAGCGAAACTAAGCAAAATGTAGAACTACATCTGGGGAGCGATATTTATCTATTTTTTTTTTCCTAGGATGATAGGGGAAGACTCATAAATGCTATTAACCCCACTGACGTGTAGGTTTAGGCGCTGAAAAGCGATTATGCGCGTTGATAGCACGGCAAAAACGGAAAAACGAATTGCCGTGTCATACATACGCCATTTCATGAGATCAGTCTGGCTGTTTAAGCAACAGAAAGGCAAAGGTAATGTAAACATAAGCGTAAATAACCAAATCAAATATCCAATATCAACCAATACTGTTATTAAAAGCTCAATATGGTACCGATATATTTTGCGTTCCCTTAAAAGCACAGTACGCAAGTTTTGCCGCTAGAGGTCGCTTATTCAAAACAATAGCAAAGGCATTGCATGCCATGAATGAGCGTGGAGTCATGGGAGTTGTCGTCCTCACCTCAACAGCCGATGGAAAGCGATCCGTCGCGACTCATGTTAGTGGATGAGCGAATGTATTAAAGTTTTATTAACGTTACTGTGGTGTGAAGCAGGGCGGGGCCGAGAGCATTGGGAGTGGAACAAGGCCGGTGGAGCGAATGCGATTAAGAGACACCTGCGCAACACATCTGCATTTTTGGGGTTTCCTTGGTTTTTAGAATGTACAACTGGAAATTGAGGGTCACTGACAGGCGACACAATAGCCGTTGCACTGGTTAAAATTGCGGATTACTCTGGATTTAAACGTTGGAAACATTTGGGATAATGCAAGTACACAAGTCAATAAAATATATAACATTGTTCGAGTGGATATTTTAATCCAGAAATTGTACATATTGTGCCTTTAATTAATCCTTTTCCATTAAGTATGAGCAATGTAGTAATAGTGGTCCTTGTGAATGCACTAATAAGAAGCATGCCCCCCACCCATGAGAAACAATTACATTTTAATAGATTAACTTGTGAGTCAGAAGCTTGGAAAGTGTAATCTACTTGATTCTTGTTAAGACCTTGGCATAGATGTACAGTGATGCGTTTAACAGTAGAGCCTGCAGAAAAGTGCCTCTTATTAGTTGATAATGTCATGGACCGCCGCAGTGTGGCTGGCATCCTGTTTAATGTGGCTGGAAAAAGTGCCGTGATTTCATGCATGTTTATTTTGGTGGTTTCTGCTGCTGTTTGTGAAGGGTTGAGTGTTCCCTCTGCACCACACGTCTAGGCTTAATGTATGTGTTTGCTGACTGTTGTGTCTGCCAAACGCTTTGGCATTTATTGACGTTTTCCCAGTGTCGTGTATCCTTTTCTGTTCTTTTTATTTCTGTGTCTCTATGATAAGGCGTGTCTCTGTGTGTTTGATGGAAGAATGCAGACAGACGAAACACTGACTCCACTCTCTGCCCACGTAGTTGGCAGGTCTCACTTTGTCTCTGGATTGAACCTGCAGCGCTAAGGCTTCTAAGCCAATCCTGAGGTTGGCAGGCACACAGCGTAGAAGCGTAAACTTTCCCTTGAAGGATGCAGTCACTGAACAGACTCCCACTGTGCGAGGTTCACTCGTGCTTCCTGGTGTGTGTGTGGCAGGAAAACCTGCTTACAAACTGAGTTAATGATTAGAAGTTCAGTCAAACTAGGTATAGCAAGATGTTAGCTGACACTTGAAATGGCGCTAAATTCTGGACATTTATGCTAATTAGTCATTTAACTATTAACTTTTCTCAAGGACACAATGGTGTTACAAAGTATCACTACCTCTTGCTAACATTTATATTTGATTTTATCAATCCAACATGATGCATTAAGGTTTTATTGAATTCCTAATTTAAATAATGTATTGGTGTATATTTTGTAATTATTTAATTCATCTTATATAGCCTTATAATAAATAAAGATTATATATATATATCTTTTTTTACTAAATTAACTGTTAATTAATTTCATAACATTATTTTTTTTATTTGTAAATTAAACGTTGCTAAAATTAATGTTATTTATTTACTTTCTAATTTGTATGTTCTTATTTTTTGTCTTTTTTTTAGTTTTATGTAAATGTTCCCAGTAATACTATATTGTTTAGCCAATTTTTATTGGATCATTAAATGCAAAATGCCTTGTTGTCAGGGCAACTAAAGATTTTTTGTTCTACTAATGATCAATTAGCAACACAAGTAATATTGATTTGTCATTATTTCTTTCTAACATAGTCAATGGTAAAGTCTTGGCCTCTGAAAAGAAAATATTTGGAAAGCCAAATGTAACATTGTTCAAGCAACTCTTTTAGGATAATTGGAACAAAATGGGGAATATTGTTTGTCTAACATGTTTTTATGTAGATTCATAGTAAAAAAAAAATTAGGAATCGGACATTCCTGTATACAAGGCGAACCGTTACATTGCATTGATTTATAAGATGTGCATAATAGTTTAGATAGTTACATGCATTTGCCTTGTGTTGTGTAGAGGTTAATGTTGTGACATCATCTGGTTTCTCTCCAGCTGTTGGTTCAGACCCCACAAATAACCAGGTGGTGTTGGTGATCCTGGTCAGTTTGCTACCTCTCCTGGTTCTGGCTGTGCTGGTCATCGCCTCCTTCTACTGGTATCGTATGTACCGTCGCCGCAAACTGGATGAGTGGGAGACCAAGAAGCCGTCCAAACGCAAGGGCCCCAAAGGCCCGCTGGACTGTAGTGATGCCTGCGCCATCATGATGGACGATGACCGCTCGGACAGCAGCTCCACGCACGCCAACAACCTCAACCACAACACGGATCCTCTGCCCATTGAGCTGGACCTACAGGTAGGCAAGGGCCGCTTTGCTGAGGTGTACAAAGCCAAACTGAGACAAAGCCCCTCGGAACAGTTTGAGACGGTGGCGGTGAAGATCTTCCCCTACGAAGAGTACGCATCCTGGAAGAACGAAAAGGACATCTTCTCGGACATCGACCTGAAGCACGAGAACATTCTACACTTCCTGACTGCCGAGGAGAGGAAGGTGGAGAAACAGTACTGGCTGATCACCGCCTTTCACCCACGCGGAAACCTGCAGGAGTATCTCACGCGCCACCTCATCAGCTGGGAGGATCTGCGAGTGCTTGGGGCCTCCATGGCCCGGGGTGTGGCTCATTTGCATAGTGACCACACCCCCTGCGGGAGGCCCAAAGTGCCCATCGTCCACCGAGATCTGAAGAGCTCTAACATCCTGGTGAAGAATGACCTCACTTGTTGCCTCTGTGACTTTGGGCTTGGTCTCCGTCTGGACAACTCGCTCTCAGTGGATGACTTGGCCAACAGTGGACAGGTATATATGCAAATGTTTTTCATATGGTGCATTCTGTCTATATTGATGATATACGCCATCAGTCATAATTTCAACTTAAAGGGATAGTTCTGTCATTTACTAGCCCTCAAGTTGTTTTAAACCTGTATGACTTTTTTTCTTCTGCTGAACACAAAAGAAGATATTTTGAATTTTTGGCTGCATGGTGTATCATTTGCGTGACATATCAGGTGATTCGCTAATTATTTGCAGATGTTTTTAAGTCCTGTCAGTTCAAACATTCAAACGGCGCGCGGTCGGTAATCTGTGTGCGCACACAGAGCCCTGGATACCACATCCTGTTCTCTTTCCCATCTTTTTGTGCTTGAGCGAGCACATTCATACAAAATTATGTCACAATGCCCCGTCTCGCTGAGTATCCTCGTAAACACAGTCACTTATGTCTTAAGTGAACGCAAACAATTGAGAAAGAAAACGTATGCGTATAGATCATTGCATTAGGTCTTAAAGTGAAAGCAGTCTTAAAGCAGTCATAAACCTGCTGCCATTTGTCATTAATGTTAATCAAACAACAAAAGAAAAAAGTTTGTTATATTGTATTGAACTATATGCTATTTTCTATGCAGATTCACTCCCCTACAAAATCACCCCAGTCATTCTAGAATGATTAATTCTTTCCAAATAGAGCCATTCAAGTCATCTGGTGAAATTGTTTTCATATCGCAATATATATTGCATTTTTTCCCAATATCGTTCAGCCCTAATTTGAAGAATGTAACCAAACAGTTGATTTTTTTTTTTTTTTTTTTTTTTTTTATAATATGAAAGTCAATGGGGCTCATAAACTGTTTGGTTACCCATTTTCTTCAAAATATATTTTCGTGTTCAGCAGAAGAATGAAATGCAAACAGGTTTGAAACAACTCGAGGTAAATGATGAAAATTACATTTTTGAGTGAACTATACCTTCAAGATCCACCAATTCCTGAACAAACTTAAGAGAGATCAGCAATGACATATATCAGCCGAAATCTCGTCCACTCGCATGAATTGCGTAATAAAGTCAAGTATTTATTTAAATGTATATCTTATTTATATTTGCAATACATTTTAAATATATTATTCTGACAACAGATTACTAAACATCAATGGTTTTTTATTATAGCATTGATTTGTATTTATTTACGTCCGTTGCATTGTTTTATGGGATCATAATCCCTTTATAAACAAATTTTCCTCATTTTACCATATTCCATCACCTGAAGCAGTGCAACTTATTGTATCAAACCCAATGCAGCACACGACAGCTCAGATTCACATGCTGTTATAGCTTTGTAAGTGCCAGGTAAAGCTGCCATGTTCTATACCTAAAATTGTGGCGATTTACAGTGGCAGGGACCTCATGTCATAACTTGCTGGGAAAGTCCCCTCAGGCATTTCACCATGTGCAGATGTGTATGTATGTATATGTGTGCCCTTTGTTCAAACTGTCTGCTCCGATTTATGATTCACAGGCTAAAAATGAAAAGACAAAAGGCTCTGAGTGAATCAGTAATGAACGAGCTAACAATCGCCCGACTCTCAATACCCAGAGTGCTTTGATGTATGCCAACAATCTGCTAATCCCAGACGGTGACCCTAAACGCATTCAAAGGGAGTTTAGACTTCAGTGCTGAGGTTGCGTTTAATTAATCACGTTTTAGTTTTGTTGGTTCATCGGCGTGGCCTTTTGTACCTCTAAATTGAAGTTGAGTAATAAAGTGAGGCGTTCATGTTTTAAAGATAAAGAAAAAAAATCCCACAAAAGCGATGAACAATTAGATAAATGTATTATCTGAATGACGAGATAATAATGTCATTTAGATCAGTGTTAATAAGATAACACTTTATAATAAGGTCTCATTAGTTCCAGTAATGCATTAACTAACATGAACTAACAATGAGCAATACATTTGTTACAGTATTTATTCATCCTTGTTAATGCTAGTTAATAAACTCCAGCTGTTCATTGTTTGTTCATGTTAGTTCACAGTTCATAAACTAATGTTAGCAAATACATTATTGTAATAATAATAAATGATTGCTATTAAAAGTGCTGTGTTATCATGACATTGATGGATATACAATATAAATGATTTACAGTTAAATAATTATGTTATGTATCTGATTCTCAGGTGGGTACAGCCAGGTACATGGCTCCAGAAGTGCTGGAATCAAGGATCAACCTTGAGAACATCGAGTCATTCAAGCAAACCGATGTCTACTCCATGGCCCTGGTACTGTGGGAGATCACGTCCAGGTGTAATGCCATCGGAGGTGAGTGCACAACCATCATCAAGATCTCACTTGGGAACATAGCTGTTATTTTGGCATTTCTCAAATCAATATGGTTAGTAAACTTGAGACAATGCTATTCTATTTCTATTCTGCCTGTAATTGTCCCTCAAGGAGAACATGGATGAAAATAGGCTTGCCTTTTTATCCGATTCTGTCAGTGGCATTTAGTTCATCATTGGGCTATTGTTTCTGTACACTGCATGGAAAGCCCACACTGTGTTTTGAGTGATTTGCAGCTTCCTGTTTTTGGAAGAGTCGCTCTTTAACAAGAGCAGAGGTGGTTCGGCATACTCACTGTTTGGGGAATGTAAGGAATGTTTGAAATGTCAAGTGCTTCCTAAGAACTTTCCCTTTTTTGGTCAGGTGGGAATGTTCTTGGCACACCCAGATATAAGCGTTAATAACAATATATAGACTATTTATGCTCTCATACACTATGTATGAAATACAACAGCAAAAATTGGAATTAGTTATGGAGGTAAATATAAACGTGCAAATGGAATTTGAGGAAGAGAGAGGATTTTGTTGTTGTGATCAGGGTTTTTCATGCACTGAATATTTTTCAGTTGCTGCCCTGTGAAATTATGGCTCGCTGAAGTATATTCATATTCATTTGCATTTGAAATGCCCGGGATGGATAAAGTTTACTGGATTTGCTTTGATAACCTTCAGATAATTTTACATTTTCTTAAATGGCAATAATCAGACAGGATTCTTTCATTTGATTTTGGGGTAATAATTATTGGAGCTTTTGATTGAACAGTAACTTTTACGAAATAGGAAACAAGCTGTATATTTACTCATTCAAATTAAAACAGTGCTGCACTGCAAAATAAGTCATTTTCTGTGTTTTGGTGCAAAAAAATAGTGGGAAAAAAATCATTTTGCTTGATTTTTAAGCACAAATTACCGTTAATCATTTTGGAAATCATTTAAAAAAACAAATCAAGTTTTATTCTTATCAATGCATTAAATTATTCCAAATTGACAGTAAACATAAGATTTATATTTTGAATAAATAGACCCTTTTTACGTCAGTTACGTTACGGCGCTAAGTGAAAACTGGAGGCGGCCAATACAAACCAGCACAGATTCGGCTACATAATAAGGAGCTTCAATTATTGTTACTATTATTAAATGTCATCTTGTTGTGTTGTTTGGTGCAAGAATTGATGAAAAATGAATATGCTGAATCTGGAACTTTTATTTCTAGAAAATATTCACATCATTAAAATCGCACCGTAATGTCCCTCTTTACATTGTCGTGGTCTCGGCGCTGGCTCAGCAGAACTGCGAATCGTACACACAAGTCTTGTACAGGACCATATAGGCATCTAAAGATTTATATGCCCACAGTTTCTCATTATGATCGGTTTCTCTATAAGGTAGGTGTAGAAGTCAGGCCGCTCAACCGAGGTAACGTAACGTTAATCCTGTAAGATCGTCCATGCATTGAGTTGAGCGTATAGGCGGCTACGGGTCGGCCAATCTGGTTCCGTACGTTAAAAATAACTTTTGGAAATAACAATTGCGGTCCTGGACACTGAGTGACCTTACACCATTAAGATAAAATTGGATTTTCTCCAGTCATTGGTAAAAAAACAAGCTAACAATACTTGCTAACTAGCGTTAGCGAAGCGACCAGGGATCGTTTTGCCTCCACCTAAGCTCCTCCCACAAAAAAACGTCACCATGTTTGCCAACTGAAAAGGGGTCTATAAAATCCACAACTTGAGTGTGAGTAAATGATGACAGAATTTAAATTTTTGGGGGAACTGTCCCTTTGAATCAGCTCTGCCAATATGAGTGTATTTGCATGTGTATATTGTCCCTGTGCCTGTAGAGTTGTGTTACCCACATGCACCGGCATGCCCTCTCTGTGGTTGACAGGGGTTGCAGGAGTCCTCATGTCATGCTGCTTGAAGCTTATCTGAAGAGCTGGAGGTGTTTTCAGCCAGACAGACTGTCTCATTCCAGCCTGTGCTGAGGGGGGTAGAGACAGACATCCCAGGGTCTGTCTCTCAAAGCCCTTGCGGTTTTTATTTTTGCTCCCGTTTCCACGTTCCGCTGATTGCAATGTTAAAAACCTGGGATCTACTGCAAAAAGGGGGAAAGAACTGTTTTCGGGACATAAGACTGTAGAAAGTCAATGTGTAGGTGATGGTGAAATGGAAAGCTGTGGCCGCGTTGTTCTGCTTCTGCGGCTCAGTGTGAAGTCCTGAATTAGCACGGGGTGCGGCCTGGTCTAGAGTAGTGCAGCAAACTTAAAACACTGCCAGTCAAGGAGAACTCCCTCCCTTCCGCAGAGAAAGAGAGGAAAACAAGAAGTAAATGGAGGACAGCAGCTGGCTAGCAGGTGGCAGAACCCCATGCAGGGTGGCCATCCATCAGTATAGGTCTCAGATTCACCGCCTCCACGCCTCTGACTGACTCAAGCCTCTTCACAGACACGCAGAGGAGTCAGGGGTGTTGTGTGCTCATGATCCACCCTAAAACTGAAGCCTGAAAAACATTGCTCTCTAAGCAACTCTTAAATAGGTCAAAGTCTTTAAGCAGGAATCTTCCCTCCTGTCTGCCCCGATCGACTGTCTAACTCGCTGTGATTAATGGATGTCTTATTTAATGAAAAGAAAGCCTCTTTTTTATTTTTTCTAAACCATCAGTGTATGAAATCTGCCATGTATATAGTGTAATTTCCATTTATTCCATGGAATAAAACGTGTTAATTTCACAGTTGATGCATTTTAATTTCACAGAATGTTAATCAGGATTAGTGTTTGTTTGGAAAATTATATTTACCTTAAGGAATTTGTAATGTACCATTTATCAAATTCATCAAGCTGCTCTTCAATGACTCTCTTTGACAAAAAGCGAAAGTAAATGATAAAGGCATGATTAAAAGTTTCCAAGAGAGTCTTACTGTATGGCCTTATAATATAAGAAAAGGAAAAAAAGCTTTTCATTTTAAAACAAATCAGCCCCTGGGACATAAAAGCACTCAAGAATGAAGAACCACCCTTAAACTGTTTTTTTTTTTTTTTTTCTTGCACTCTTTCCCAGACTCGGATAAGCAGGTCTGTGGAGGTAGCAGACGGTTAATCTAAAGGGGAAACTGTGGTACTAAAAGCTTTTCCCTGGATAGCGCTAGCTGGGCCCGGGGTGGGAGGCCTCAGCCGGCAGGACATCTGTTCCCAAAACCACGGCATTCCTCATATAGCGAGTGCATTTGTGGAGCCTGGCCTCTTGAGCAAAGCAAAACTTAGAGTAAAAAAGACAGAGGCCAAAACAAAGAAAGACACCAGGTGACATTAATTTTGCAGAAAACCTCATCTACAGATTGCATGCATGCTAAATACCACCGCCCGGTCAGAGCCACACGCAGGGCACAGAGGACAGCAGAAATTGCACCGCAGGGGTGGGAGTATTTTGTTTAAGAGCTGAAACAGGGGAAGTCCACTTGTCAAAAACAGGATGCGTTCTCTTGTGGAGTCAGCTTCTCCGCAGGGTCCCAATCGCAGTCCTCCACTTCCTGTCCCAGGCTGCATGCTGGCCTAGCCCCTTCCTGTGGGCCCAGTGCTGGGCAAGAACCACAGAGCACGCTCTCCAATCAAGAGCAAAGTAAACGTACTCATCAACCGTCATTTGCTGTAATGGATTTTATATTGGCCGAGAAGAGGACAATAAGTGCTGTTTTATGGGAGGTTTTGGTGTTTCTTGTGCTATAGCTGGCTCTGGTCAAGTACTCGGCTATGGAGGCTGAAGACGGATATATGATTGGGCCTCTGCAGGTCTGGAAAATGTGTTTTTTGAGCTCGCTGGCACAGTCCAGTGATTAGCCTCATATTTCACCAATTTGTTTTCGTGAACAAAACAAATGAACCACAAAATCAGCATTGTTAATTGTTGGCATTCTGGTGGAGCAACTGATTGCGTTTCATTTTTCTCTAGTTGTCGCATTTACAGTTTAGGTTTTTCAGCACTGGATGGAATAACCGGATGCATATGGAACATGCTTTTCCACCCTCTATCAGGGCTTGCTTCCAACCTCAGTACTTTAACTTCTTCTGAAATGCTCTTCAAGAATGATTCTTCATGCTGTCATAAGGGGATGTATTATATGTCTGATAATCTGATTGTCTTGTGTGTTTCTTCTTCACAGAGGTTAAGGATTACGAACCTCCATTTGGCTCGAAAGTCCGAGAGCACCCCTGTGTGGAGAGCATGAAAGACAATGTGCTACGAGACCGGGGCAGGCCAGAGATCCCCAACAGCTGGATGAAACACCAGGTAAAAGAGCAGAGGGTTGTATTTTGATCTCATATCATGGCGAGAGACAGCCAGTTCTCATCCCAAGGCGTCGTATACTGACGCTTTTGACATTTCGTCTACATCCAATGCACATGGCACCCTTTAGCGTCAATATGAGATGCAGATATATATGGGCCAGAAGGCGCCTCCTAATGGTGTAACCCTAACACTACCCCAGGACTAAACCTACCCGTAACCGAACAAAGCTCTGTGCGTTTCATATTGACGCTAAAGGGTGCCATGTGCGTTGGATTTAGACAAAATTTCAAAAGCGTCACCATATGACGCCCTAGGTTGAGAATGCGTTGGAGACAGCATATTAGCCCAGAGATAAGAACTTTTTTGAGAGGTTTTGGAAGGCAATCGTAGCTTTTAGTTTTAGTCATTTTGACTAATTTTCAAAAGATTGGGGTAAGTATTTTTTTTTTTTTTTCGAAAATGAAATTAATACTTTTATTCAGCGAGGATGCATTGAATTGATCAAAAGATACATTAAAGACATTTATAATGTTACAAAACATTTTTTTTAACTTTCTATTAATCAATTCTGGTTTCTATGAAAATATTATGCCGTACAACTGTTTTCAACATTGATAAGAAATGAGCATGAAATCAGTGTATTATAATGATTTCTAAAGGATCATGTGACACTGAAGACTGGGGTAATGTCACTGAAAATTCAGCTCTGCCATCAAATGAATAATTCAGATTTTAAAATGTATTTAAGTTGAAAATATTGTGAAATATACAGTATGATTATAATAAATGTTACTGTTTTACTTATTTTTGATCAAATGAATGTGGTAGAATACATACATTTTTTACACAAAATGTTGTTAGATTTCTCTGAAAACAAGGCTTGTATCATCTCATTTTGCTTTCCACTTTAATGAGTCTTGTTTTAAGAATGTTTAGATATTTTTACCTGAAAACAAAATACTGAGTAAGGGGAAATTCACACAGAATGTGGTTTTCCATTCCAATGTGCACATTTTCCATTGTTTTTCAATGATAACGCACTAGATTTTAGATAGACGTGTTTGACTGCTGTACTCGCTTGACACGTCATTCCAAAAGTTCAAATAAGCCTCACTAGACCTTTTGTTTTTCTTTTCCCCACTTCTCTGACCTGCGTCTCACTTTTTTAACCACAAACACGTGTTCTGTGTGAATTTTCTGTTCGCACTTTTGTGCTTGTGCTTTTGTTTGACTGTCAAACTGACTGTCAAACATTTTTTCTTTTGTCAAATGAACTTAAATAATTTACTTAGTTGAGAGAACTTATTATTTTGAGTTTCTGATGATTAGATTAATCTCCTTAATTGTATTAACTCACTTTTTCCAGTTCAACCAACTTAAAATTTTAAGGCAACCCGGTTACTTTTTTAAGTTAAACCAACAATATTTTTTTACAGTGCAGCTATAGTTGATTAGATGAGCAAGAAGTGTCTGTAGACTTGACAAAATATTGATTAAATTTAAAGGGCATTTTAATCTAAAGACAAAAACGGACTTAAATAAAAAACTTGTGTTTTGTCTCCAGGGAGTGGCTACAGTCTGCGCCACCATCAACGAGTGCTGGGACCACGATCCCGAGGCCCGACTCACGGCACAGTGTGTGGCCGAGCGATTCAACGACATGGACGACGACCTAGACAAGTTGTCCACCTGCAGCAGCTCCGAGGAGAAGATTCCTGAAGATTGCTCTGTGAGCGTGAGCGATGACAAATGAGAGAAACTCTCTCTCTCTCTCTCTCTCTCTCTCTGCAAAAACTGAATGTTTGGATCCTTCCAATGAGATGGAGTGGAAGAATATGGCCTTTTCATTAAGCTTTGTTTCATAGCCAAAGATTTCATGCACTTTATCAGATTATGCATAGCTCACACTGAGGAAGGTCGGGCTGCCGCGTGAGAGGAGCTGGACAGACGCTGGGTTTCTCCTCTGACAGCTGACCAAGAGCCAAATGTAATCAGGAAAATGTTTTGCCTCGACACTAAAGATTCATAGGAGATTGTAAGACTTTTTACAGATCATTTCAGGATTTTCTGGATTTATGGAAGAATGTGTTGCGTGAGAGATTTGTGTTTGTGTGCTTGAGTGTGTTAGAATACTAGCGTGTGTGTTTGTATGTTTGGTGCTTTTTACAGAGAAATGTATTGTGCTTATTAGCCAAAGAAAAAAGTATGTTGTAAATACTGCATAAAACATAATGTAAAAAACCTACACTATTTAGAGAGCCAAAAAAGGGAAGAATATGCTGCACGTGTGGCTGGGCGGTATATCGTGTTTGTGTGATATATCAACATACTTACTATATAGGATGAGGCAATGCTGTTTATATCTATATACAGTATTGTGATATTATAGGCGCGTCTGAAAAATGGACACAGTGAGCTTCATCATAGACTCGTAAGACATAGCTAACGCGTATTGTTGTCCCAAGTGGCTTGTCCTTTGACAGATACTGATACAGATGCTGTTTGATGTGTTTTCCTCAGTGCAAAACTTCCATTTCACAAGTATATTCTCCATCTGTAAATGTTAGAAGGTCATGCATTGTGCTGTCAGGAGTGGATAAGCCTGATGTAAGCTAGTCTCCTCTAAACTTCACAGACTTCAGTGAACTGACAGACGAAAATACTGAGATATGTACACGATATCGTCATTCAGCCAAAAAATACAGATATGATGTTTTTGGACATCGCCCAGCCCTACACATACCAAGTCAAATGTGTTAAACGAACAGTATTTCGAACTCACAAAATGCCTCGTATGTTCACATATCCTGGATATTGAATTGTGCCTCTCTTTTACTACTTTTTATGTAATATATTGTAAATCTTTGATGATTAAAATACATTTATGTACAGTATTGACACTAAAAATGGGTCACTCATTTTGTTCTTTGAATTATTAGTTGGATCTATTAGGTCCACTATCAGCCTGGGAAATTTGTGAAGGTTCCTTTCATTTGGGTGATGATTGACAGCCAGATATTACCTGTATAACGCCGCTGGTTACAACAATGTTTTCAGTTAGTCTTAAAAAAACATTCCATTAACCGGTTGTCACGCATGCCCACTAGTTCTGTGTTGTGGGAAACAAACCTCTTTAATGGAAATCAGTTGTCAAATGTGCCTCGTAGAACTGACACCTGCATTTCTGTACATAAGAAGCCTCAGGGTTTCTTTCTACTACTAGAATTCATCAAGAAGCTGTTGTGTGAAAGTATCTTTTACAACAGTAGTGAGTGGGTAACAGGGTTTGTCAAAAGAAAATCCAAAATCCACTATGCTGTTGTTGCAATAGGTCATTTATTTTAAAGTATTATTGATATATAATAGTATTTATACATATTTTGAATTGGCTTTTATTTTTAATAGTATTTATACATATTTTGAATTGGCTTTTATTTTTATATTCCATATTTTATGTTTTCTATTTGTTTTTAGCTTAACTTTTTATCGTTTTTAAGTGCTTTTATCCTTTCTACCATTTTTTTATTATTATTTTTATTTAGCTTCAACTTATTACATTTCAGCTTTGGTTTTAGTACTTAACATATTTCACTTCAGTTAGCTAACAAGGAAACATTTTATTTGTGTTTAAAGTAATTGCTTTTTTAATATTTATATTTTATTTCAATTAAAAAATAGTTACATTTTTCATTTTCATGACATGTCATGTCAGTCTTATGCACACCCCCACAAGTAAAGTGTTATTAATGAGTCTCTATAAAAGCAAGTCTTGCACCGTGACCGCGCATGCTCAGTTGTCTCTAAGTGTGGGCTGGGGCAGACGGCTGTCTAATTGAGTGAAATAATCTTCCTCTTTGACTCTCTTTTGTGGCGTGAGGCTGTTTGAATTGAGCTCTCACGCTGGAGTCAGTATAGCTGTTTATCTGGGCTTTGTTTGGGAGTGAGAGTTTTGAAATTCATGACCGGGAACTGCCGTGACCATAATGACAGAGAAAACGATGACTGTCAAGTCCCTCAGACGGGTCATTTTTATCCCAGGCAGTCGTACACACCCCTGTTCCTCTCACCATCCCTCTTTTCCCTATGTCTATTGTTTCTTTACTATTTTTGCCCCTATACCACTGGGGGGGAGACAGGGGAGTAAACCAGTATCTGTGGAGCTGAAGGCTTATAAATATCTCTCTGTGGCACTGATCTCAAAATAGTATTTATGAGCCCGTTCTGAGTCTTGGCATTTGTTGTCGTTGTGGTGTTCTAGAGAGAGCAGAGCTGACCAGAGGAAACCGTAGTGCATTCTTTTCTGTCGTGGAGAGATGGGGTAAACAGTTTAGTCTCCATTTTCAGATGTCTAAAAATAGCTTTAATGCTAAAATGTATAAATATATGCTAAAAGAAAAGATTTACGAGACCTCAAATATGCGCCCGTGAAAGAGACTTCTTGTGAAGTGAGGAATTCATAAGTACGTTTTTGTAGCCTGTATACAACAACTTTATTGGGCACAGTAAGTTAGATTCATCATACATAATACATTGACTATCTTTCATTGTTTAGTTAATCGTCAATCCTATAAATTACCCAAAACTGACTACTGACAAAATGTATTAATTTAATCCACAAAGCTGCAATCCATTTGGCCTGTGTCATTTTTTAATTTAAATATTTTTCAGAGACATACTATTTTAAAACACACAAAAGCTTATTTGTAGCCTATGTGAAGTAGTCTTATACACTACTTTTAACCCCCCTCCCAAACCTACCCAAGGGGTTTTTAGTGCGTAGCATATGCACACAAAAAACATTTTTGCCGTAAAAAAAAGCCACAAGAAATGCCATTCATGGTATAGATACGCACTTTCATGAGACTTTGTTGGAATATGCACATTAGCCCCGCCTCTACTCACTCACACCAGCTCAGAGATCCACTCATTGACGATCACATGTTGACGTGATTGGTTACAAGGTAGTTTGTGACGTCAGAAACACCAGCGATTTCAAACTGCGTTTTTGAGACTGCATGTCTTTGGTTCACTGTTTTTTGGAGAAAATACTCAGCAATGGTGTTGATGACTTCTGAATTTGGACATAATTTGTCTTAAATCATATTTAAAACACAACATATTGACATATAGATTACATTAAAAGCTTGATTTTCAACACGGGACTTGATTCACAAGGCTGGTCTGATTCATTTCCTGTTCATTCCCCCTGCTCTCGACCTCTCCAAGTTTTGCTTGAGTGCCATCACCATGACAAGACTGGCACATTATGTTGTACCAAAGTCCGTGAAGGCCTCCGTGGGTCTTCTTCTCCTGTTCTTTCGGCAGGTTGAAGTAGTGCTGTAGGCCATGTGAATGCTGACTGATAAGTATCTGTTTGAAGACATTCACCCTTTTCCCCGCACGTCTAGCTCGTCACCATCAGGCTGTGTTTCATTATGCTCTTTGATCGCTGGCGCCACCCGAGGGTACAGAGATCAAACAACAGATAAGAGATAGACACTGCAAGGGGAACAGTGCACACTCAAAGGCAAAACACACTATCATTGCTGCCAAACAAACACATGTTAAAGGAGCTGGGATAATGATATAGGCTGGCCAATTGGAGAACTAGTGCTCCTCCATTATATTTTTGATGATCTTTGGGCCATAAAAGTACAAATTAAGATGCAAACTGTCAATTGGCCTTACATGGAAATCTCCGGTCCGCATCACAGCATATCCTGGCTAAAAATAGTCACTTCAGCAGAAAGCCTGACTGACATGTAAAATGACCTATTATGTGCCTTTTAGGTGTAAGTTTATCTGCAAAAGATGACCACAATAAATATTGATTTACATAATGGTTCATCATTCTCTACCGAAAGATGTACAGTAAACGCTAGAAATACCTGAAATGATGTTGAAATAAAGAAGTGCTTAAACTCTCATGAAAATATTACAGAAACTTGCACACTCCAAAAAATGCACTTTATATATATATATTTAAGTAGGTATGTGGAATATGACCTTGACATGTGCTTGACAGGATAACTCTTATTTAGTAATTAGGATATATATATATATATATATATATATATATATATATATATATATATATTGTCTGCAATCTTTTCTCGAAATGTGCTTAACAGAATAGTTTTAATTTTAACTCATAATTTATTTTGAATTAGTGAATTTATTCATTATAATTTTTTTAGAATGTATTTTATTTATTATTTTTTGTTAATGAAATCTGACCTTGATGTGCTTTAGGATACCTCATCATTTTAAATCACAATTTACAAATATGCATGTAGGCCTATATATAGCCTACATATTGGGTCAAATGGAGAGAATATATAAACCTTAGCTTAACAGGATAACTTGTCATTTTAACTCATCATTTACGTAAATATACATAGCTAAGCCAGGTTGGAAGGATAATCAAACACAAGTGAGAAACCACCAAAAACAAAACAAGAAGTAAATAGTTAGCACATTTCAGTACAGATCTTTTATACTTGTCATTTGCAACAATCCCAAATCCCAAACTTTGTGTTTCTGCCATCCGTGGCCCAACTCCACAGACATTGCTTGTTTACTAAACTCCTCCGTTCCCAGAATAAACCAGTAAATCAAACCATTTTGTTGTCAGAGAACTAAGGATTGACTTTGTCTTTGTCCAGTGATTGATGTTGGGCAAGATCTGTGCATGGCAGCAGTCAGTTCTGACTCTGACTCTAGTGAACTACACTGCCCTCTGTTGCCCATTGGTTAGTAAATACCATGGTACCTACTGTATATTGTAAGTTCAACGACATTACTATCTGTGACCATTAGGCTACTGTACATGGTCAACATAGTTTTTCTTATTATATGTGGTTAAATTTTTTTTTTCAATGTGTCATGACTAATCTGAATCTGAATGTTTCTTTGACCTCTTCATCCGGATTCCTAAAAGAGAGAGAAAAACATTTAAACGTCAAATTATGTCCTATCTGTCTTCTACCAGCTAAAAAAGAAAGATGGATAAGGAAAAGTTCAAACTTATGCAGTAATTATTTTTGTTTGTTTTTATATTTCCCATTCCCACAATGACAAACTCCTCTGACCATTGCAATAAAGTTATACCGCTGCATTTATATACGATTTACAGTCCTAAAAACCTGCTTTAAAAATGTAAATCCACTTTAAAAAAATGAATCATTTGGAAATGATTTGCTGAGAGTAAAGGCCTTCTTGAACATTTAACAAAATATCTATTTTATCATGTGGACTATTAATGAATAGCCTACTTATAGTAGATTCCAAGTTGGGTATAAAGCCAAAGCAAAGTGATCATTTACTAATTATTATGAGGCAGTGTGCTGAGGTCTGGGCCGTCGCTGAGAGCCTCGCTGTCTCTATACATCAGTCTAACGTCTTTTCCAGCACTTCCGTCCCAGAGTCCATTATAGTATTAGTGGAGAAGCCGATGAGAAATAGGAAAGCAGTTTTACAGCAGAAGGCCACCTAATGAAGACAAACAGACCTTCTCCACACTGCTAGTAGCCTATGTTATTTTGTGAGACGTCTCTGCAGAAACAGAGAAAGATCTAGGCTATGCCTAGTGACAGAGTATATTATGGAGTATGCAGTATGCACAGTGCCATTTGGTTCAGGACCATTACGACACAATACTACAGTTCGGCCTTCAACATTTAATGGAGGGCTTGCATAATGCACAGTTGGCTTTGATAAAAAAATATAAAATATAAATAAATAAACAATGTATAGTTCAATACATTTTAGTATCATATTAATATACTGTAGTTTGATAACTATATAAAAAAACATATACAAAATAAAGGGAAAAAGGCACAAACGCTTGCCTTGCTCTGTTCTGATATGCGCGTTCGTGACTCTCCTGTTCAAACTCG